CCAGGGCCGCGCCTCGTCGAGTGGCCGTCTACACCTTACGTACAAACAAAGCTGGGTCTTCGTCCTCCCAGTGGCGCACATCCGCTTCTGTTCTGCGACGGAAAAACACACCTGTGTCCTTGCACACGCAGTCTTCTCAATAATTGATCAACCTCTTCTCCCGATTGCAGGCACGTGCTATGAAATATCGTACCCGAAGCGACCACATTACGACTCGGCGACAAGTAAGCTGTCAGTTTCTGCTCACATCGGTCAAAAGCGTCAGGCAGGAGTCAGACGGTGCAAGCAACGTATCATGCACATCTGCACTGTCTGAACACAACAAGTGCAACATCAAGGTACATTTACGTCGATTGTCAGTGATATCTATGGCCACCATATGTTGGCTAACACTCTCAGACCATTTCTCGAAGTCCTCACCAGTTCGGTATGAGTCGAGGGCAGCTAGCTGTCACGCCATATTGCACCAATCTCCGCACCACCAAACGACCCGTAGGTTTTCACAAAAGCTACCTTCCAAATCTGCTCACCGGTGGGCAGGGTCAACTTGACCTCGAGTCGTCATTCACCGACGCCTCAGGGGCCGCGCACCACCGTCGCTCCACTGTTCACTGGCGCCCGAAAGCTCCGTTCAGCTGCACCCCGGCCGGCCGGTCTCGTGTGGGACAGGTCAGCTCCCGCTCCCAGGCGCCGATCCGCCGAACAGAACGGCTGAATGCTGACCCAAATAGCTGCTCCTGACTGGTCGAATCCCGACAGAGGCCACCACCGGCTCCACCGGCACGCCGGTGGATGACAGAATCCGTGGGTCCTGTCTGATCTCCAGACCTCGCGCCGACGACTCCACGTCGCCACGCTGCAAGACGGCTGCACTCGACGGCTGCAGCAGCTCCTTGCAGTCACCAACGGCCAGACGGTACCCGTCCTCCGACCTCGCCGTCCACCGTCCGCTTCTCCACCACCGCTGCTACATCTCCCGGGACTTGTGACCGAGTTCGGTGACGTGCTGGTCCTCGCTGGTCCAAAAGCTCGTCGCCAGGTGTTCCATCTTCACTGCCTCTAACGAGCACCTCTCATAGGAGGAACGCAACAGCTCACACGAAACGATTTTTAATGCCCACTCGCTGCAAGACGTGACCAACCACTCCCTGCTAGCTCTCGGGCTACAGCCCGGATCAACTAGCACAGGTCAGCAGTAGTCAAGACCCGACAAACCACCTATTCACCACGGAGGTTATTCGTTTGACCTTGACCTCAGACGGGTTAATGACAAGTAACAGCCCTTGCTCTCGTGTCTGATATCCCTATATGCGGCTACGCTCTTCCACTTCGCGTTTAGATGGTTCAAATATGACGAAAATAAATAGACCAAAGTGGACGTAAAGGCCAAGGTTTCAGCTTTCATTTACACGGCGCGTGACCTTGGTTCTAGATCTAGTGCGGCGCGCGTAGCGTTGGATACCTTCCTATGTAACATGCTTGATCAGGGTGCAATGATTTACACCATGAGATACGTTTCTAAATGGAATGCGTCGTGGGAGCGGTCAGATATTACAAAGGAACATTTCTATAATTTGACTGTAATCTGTGACCTCGTTAGACTCTTAAACGTATGCTTGTTGTGTGGTCTGAGACCGTTTGGCACGGCGTTATAGATTGCAATTTTAATTTTTGAATTCGGTCCAGCCGTTCTTGAGATAAGCTGGGGGAGGGGAAATATGCCCCTCCCCTCCGGTCAGTGGTGTACCGCTGAGGGGCCCCGATCAATGCCGGCTTTACTTACATCGATATGCCTCCATGTTATGCAACCGCACATCCACGATCCCGTACTGGACTCGCGCACTTGGCGTCCAGATTGCAAACAATGATTCCTGTTCTCCTCGGCGCTTCATTGCAACATGCACCAGCATAGGTTGATGGACATTGTAAGCATGCCATTTTTAACGTAACATTAGAAGTATAGCACTCATTTTCCTTTTCATTCCCATGCTTCTGTTCTCTGAACATTTTTTACACCATGTTCCTGTACCATGTGCAGATCTTGATTATCATAGTCAGCTGTCATTCCGTGTCGGATTGACCTTCACAAAAGGACGACTCCTTACCTTAAAACCATCCGCCCTGAACAGCACCATTTGTGAGTAAATGATGCTTGTCAATATAACACCTGGGGCTGCACGATTATTCACGTTTACAATTTTGTTTCTACCTGAGGATCCTAGAATATGAAGTAACACACACCAGAACCAACACTTAAACACACTAACGCAATGCAAAATCTGGGGTTCATTACCACGGAAACCGGGGGACATCTGTAACGATCTGACTTCCTTGCCCAGTCAAAAAAATGAACATGATGCCCGACTTTGCGGCCCCTTTCAAAACTTCAGGCTTTACATTTATGGAGACAGGAGCGTTCCACCTTATTGTTTTTGTTTTTTTACTCTTCGTTGGATCATTGCAATGTTGCGCCACAACTTATAAAATCGACAAGCTTGCACCCAACTGCGTCAGGAATCTAGTTGGTGACTAACGTAAAACACTGTACTTTTTTTCTTTTTTTTGCTGACAACTGCATGGATCTGCCAGCTTGCTGAGATGTAAGCTTTCAGACACTGTTGCGGTCCACCCGTATTGGGCCGGGATGGGCCTACGCCGGTGGTTTAATAACTCATCTACACCCTTCCCATCACTGTTCCGGTCTGTTGTCCCCGTGGTCACACATCTTGCTGTCACGATTCTTCATGCCTTTGTTGTCCAGCCTCTGGCCGTCTGCCAACCAACGCCGCCAGCCGGCTGGAGGTGGTGGTAACCTAACCAGGTCGGTTCTCTCAGCAGCGGTGAACTGAAGCTAGCAGTGCAGCAGCTGCGTTACAAAAACTCCGGCGAGCTGAGGCCGCCACTGGCGGGCGCGCCTCGGCACAAGTGCCAGTTACCGCGTCCGGACAGATTCTTTCATTGATAAGTAGTCACGGTCCGTTAAGATGGATATATTTCAATGTAAATTAGGTCCATTGTCAGAACAGCAGCTTAAGTGCAGTCCGTTTTTCGCTGCTCAGCTCGGACGATGAGCGGATTTCGAGCCCATTTCCAGAATGAGAACCGCTCTGCACGCCGGTGCACTGCCTGGTCACGCCGTGTCACCGCACCGGAGAGCATTATGCAATGCCGAATAGCAGCACTGGATTTGTCACAGGGAAATCAGTGCAGAAAAGGCCTACTGAGCTTTGTGAAAGCCTGCAAATCCCCGGATCCCGTTGTTGTTGTTGACAGACATCGTAAATCATGATGCCTATCGCTGTGTTGATCTCTTCCTGGTACATATCCCGCTTAGTTTCTGGACGACCCCTGAGAACTGCTGCCAGTCACGACACAAATGCCGTTAGAGGAGCCATGGAAAATGTGCGACAAGCAAAGTCGCATAAGCAATAACGTTTTTTTCTGCAGGCGCGTTTAATTGTCCGGGCTTGTGATGTTATCGTCCTGCTAAAGCCGCTCTGATTAAAGCTGATATGCTTGACATCTTGTGGTTCAGATTCATATATATATATATATATATATATATATATATATATATATATATATATATATATACAGGATAACATAGGACCGCCGAATAGAGGGGTCCGCTGGCTGGTACGTAGAGTTGGTTGTCATATTCGCACAGCCAAGACACAAAGAATCGTTCTGACAGCCATCGTATGGGGCCGGGATTGCCGGGGATGATCGCGGAAGCAAATCTGAAAGCTGGGATGGACATTAAAGGCGTTTTTGTCATAGGGACATGTATGAACGATCCAGAAAATCCATTCCTTGCATTTCCCTGTTTAACAAATTACGCGCATGGGCAAATTCCCGCCGTCTACCTCCACGACCGCCGTCTGCGCGGATGACCAACCGTGCTCACACCGAGCGACGGTGGAGCCGTCATCTTCCTGTCTACCTGACGCTCTAGAACCCCGCCAGGGTCATCTACAGTCGTATCCGACGTGCATGGGCGACATCCGTCCGGAAAGCCTGTGGGGCGTGGGCCCGCCGCCGATGACGACCGCCGCGGCGGCGCCACTGGCCCGAATGGCTCAGCCGCGCCCAAGCCAAGCATCGGCGGGGCTGGCGTTCTGTCTGGCGTTCGTGGACAAGTGCCGCAGGGTTGAAAGGGAACCATGCGGCCTGACTGCCGTCTCTGACTGGCGCTGTCACCAGCATAACCTATTGACACGAGACAAAAACTCCAATCTATGGTCAATTGGGTGTATCTGGGGCTTGCAGGGACCATGTCACGACTAGATATATCGAACGAAAGTCACGAAACCACGATGTATTTGCCAGCGACATCAAACCGACCCACTCCAACGAATCAAGTAACCCACGTAGACAGCTGAATAGATGTGCCAAGATGGTGGTCGCTTTTGCGAACTGGGAGACAGGTGTTGTCCTTTCTAGTCCTTTATATTTATGTTCAACTTGCCCATACAGTGGAGCATCAATATTTCAACATGTGATCTTCACAAGCTCACGTAGCTTCACAAGCTGCGAGTGTAATGGAGTATAAACCATCAGTAAGCTGGGAGTTTCTTTGAACTGGGATGGTTTGTTGCAATTTTTCCAGCTGTGTGATGTTTCCCGCCAAATAGCTCGCAAAAGTGTTCGTTATAGTATTAGGTATACTATATAGTAATACTTTGTATATAACGATTTTGTGAATTATTATCTATTTTTGTCCGCTAAATCTTGAACTGTTTTCACATCCGACACTAATACCAATGTTACGAAAATTGTGGCGACTTAAGTCTTGTTTTAACGATTATGATGTATTCAGCATTGTCATACCAGATTCGCAGGAATCGCCAACAGGAAGGAAGATCATTATAATCCAGCTTGCTAGGCGTTGGTGAGAGCAGTTGATCCTATTGCAAACCTGCTGAGCGGGCGTCCAGCCTGCTGGCCAATATAAGCCGGCTGGTCAAGCGCTCATTGGTAGCAGCAGTGCGGCCGCCACATCATGCGGGTGCTCCGGGTGAGTGCAGCCTCCACCACAACTGCCGATCATTCACGCCGTGTCCCTGAGGGAATCGTCCGACGCTTGATACCAACGGCGGATCGGTAGCGCCCGTTGTCGTAGGAGGCAAATGACAAAAAACGGTAACGTGGACGACTGGAGTTTTGCCAGCTGCATTAGGGGTTCAAAAGTGAAATTTATGGGTTTGAAAGATAACATCACTTAAGAAATATATATATATATATATATATATATATATATATATATATATATATATATATATGAGTATTTTGGCAGCATCCGTTCTTTTATGCATGTTAGATTAAGAATTACTGCTGACTCAGCACTGACGAGCTTTTTGATGCATTGTTCTAGTTTCCGAGCTTTTGACTTGGCATTATCATTAAAAACCACTCATATACTCGTCACTTTTTACATTCTTACCTTTCGAGATCTTATCTCATCGTCGGGAAGACTGAATGGCACAATAAATAAGTTTGAGCTTCAAAGGATAAAAATTGTGCACCACTATTAAAAAATATATTTTGGTAAGGAGAACACAAATGAAGCGTGTCTAATCGAGGTAAGCAAGAATCCTATTTTTCACTTTCATACATATAAAATATGTTCATAATGAGAACACCGCAAAGACACAAACGTATTGCCACAATCACGTCAATAGTGCTCACCGCACACCACCTAATAGCTCGAGGATTTCGATAATAGATAATAGAAAAGAATTTGTTTGTCCGTTTAGGGCTGAAGAGATTTCGTTAATAACTATGCTCTCCCAACTTTGGAGTCGCCTTCTAGCTTTGCACGTCCGTGAAATGTCCGTAGTGTCTGTCAGTTGTTGTGTCAATGCCCTGTCGTGTTCGTGTCGCATGTGGTCCAGGGGTGCCCCGTTACGTAAGTGCATTGTCAGATGTCGTGAGAGTGTCGTTGTGGTTACACCAATGTATTGTGTGGAACGAAATTTGCGGCCTTCGATGTTGCATTTGAATTGATACACTACATTGGTGCATTTTAGTTTGTCGCGTTTGTCTGGACTGTTACTCAAACGAAAGTTATAAATTTCCTTATCGCATGACAATGTCTATTTTTAGGTCATTCTTGCCTTTTACATGTCGAGAGATGATTTCCCATAGAGGTTTTTTCGTCTTGTTTGTGGGTAGATGCAATTCAATTTTGATGATGCAGTTTGACGGTTCGTTGGCTGTCTTCTCTTGGTTTGCTGTCAAAGTGTCTTGTCATATGTCGTATTTCGTTTTTATGGTCAGAATCTAAAAAACCGTTGTTCACCAAGATCTGTCTGATTCTTACCAATTACGAATGTAAGTCTGTCAGGTCAGAACAGAGCTTAAATGAGCTTCTGACGAATGAGCTTACGAAGCTAACTTTGTAGCGTCGAGGACACTCACTGTCAGCATTTAAGTACCGTCCGTTGTTGGTCTGCTTTTGGTATACAGTCGTTTTGAATCGTTGTCCCTGTCCATCGAAAGTCACGTCGAGAAAGGGTATTATGTTTTGAAGCCAGACTGCTCTTCAAAGGCGTTTCTGAGACGTTCTAGTTGGTCAACGTTAACTTCCGCAAAGATATCGTTTACATAGCGGCAGTAAATGTCCGGTCTTATGTCGTCACTTTGCGTTGTGTCGGCTTCTACATGTTCCATAAAGAAATTAGAAAATAAAGGTCCTAGAGGTGAGCCTATTGCATCACCCTCGCTTTGGCAATACATTCGTCCATCAGGCACGCGCAAGGGAAGTTCCAGCATACAAGCTAGGAGTAATTGTTAAAGAAGGTGCTTTGATATTTTGAGAGGGTAAATTTCGGAATGATTGTAAACGCGGTCAAGGATGATGGATATGTTTTTTTCAATGCGCACGTTTGTAAATAGATTTTCAACATCTAGAGGGGCTAAAAAACCCTTAGGTTGACGAGATTGTACTATATCAATAAACTCATTTGTTGGCGATAAGCTGTAGGACATTGGAAGATATGGGGACAGAAGACCATTAAGACCTGTTGCAATTCCATAGGTTGGGGAAGGGATCTATGAAATTTTTGGACGAAGGGGTTGTCATTTTTGTGAGCTTCTACAGGTTCATAAGCGCCCCCAGGCGCAAATTCATCCGCTATCTCGGAAAGGTGTATGTCATCAACAGCGGCATTGGCAGCAGTGATAAGTTTGTTAAGCTTAGTCTTGAGTTTGTCTGTTGGATCTTTTGTGATGCGCCGGAACTTCTTGTAGTCGTTCAAGATGCAGTTAAGCTTCTCATGATATTCATTTTTGTCAAGCATTACGTAGAGAGATGATTTGTTCGCTCGCCGAATGATGATATCCTATTTTTTTCGAAATTCCCTTGCCGCCGTCCTGGTTTCTTGTGTGAATGCCTTGCTCTCGTCACTTCCACGCTTTTTCGTACTCTCTCCCAATAAGCTGTTCTGTAGATCCTTGTCTACGATAACATTGTCCTCCTTTCCCAACCTCAAGATATCCTGGTAAATAATTTTTAGTTTTACTTCCTTCCAGAGTTTATCACATTTTGACAAAACAAGGCAATTAAGTACGAGATTAAGCACCTTTGTTTATTCCTCAGCGGTATCATGGCGAGACAAACTGATGTAATCATCTGCAGTTTCCGGCAATACTCTATGTCCACCATGGAGCTTTGAGAGCATTTTCAATATTCTCTTTCTCGTAAGACGTCTAGCGTCACACTCAATCACGTCAGGTTCGTCAAGCACATTTTATTTAAGTTCATGTTCAGGGCAACATATCTGTAGCTCTTCTTTTAAAACTTTTCTCTTTCTCTTAAGGATTTCACGCGCCGTCTTCTTTTGCTGCAGTTGGTGATTCACAAGTCGTTCTCTATACCTCCTGGCAAAACCCCCTTTCTTAACACCCTGATCGTGTGGCTTTACTTTGGAATATTTTGGCAAAATATTTTCTTTTATTCATGTTTGATTAAAAATGGCTGCTGACTCAACACTGACGAGCTTTTTTCGCTCGCTCTAGTTTCCGGGTTTTTGACTGGCCATTATCATTTAGATGAAGGATACTTTGCATAATATCACCCATGTGTTCGTCGCTCTTTACATTCCTACGTTTCGAGATCCTATCCCATCGTCGGAGAAGACTGGAGGGTACAATAAATAAGTTTTGAGTTTCAAAGGATACAAATCTTGCACTACAATTGGAAAACAATTTTTGGTGCGGAGAACACAAATGAAGCATGTCCAACTGAAGTAAGACAGAATCCTATTTTATTTTACATTTATACATATAAAATACACGCATGATGGATACACTTCAAACTCACAAACATATTACCACAATCACATCAATAGTGCTCAACGCCCACCACCTTATAGCTTAAGGGTCGTACGAGAATTTGTTTGAGAATTTGAAGTCTGTTTGGGGTTGGAGATAAGTCGTTTATGAACATGCTTTCCCAACTTTGAAGGCGTTTTCTGTCATTGCACGTTCATAAAATGCCTGCAGTGTCTGTCAGTTATTGTCGTGTCAATGTCCTGTCGTGTTCGTGTCGCATGTGGTCCAGAAGTGCCCCGTTACGTCAGTGCATTGTCAGACGTCGTGCAAACTTCGTTCCATACACTACATTGGTGGGACCACAACGGCATTCTCACTCTCACAATGCTACGCCATGTGATACAGTAACCCATCTATGTATATATACAAGGTGGTTGGCAATCCCATTAAATTACATATCATAAATGTTTGGGAATGGAGCCTATCAATCGCCAGTGGGAATGGAGCCTATCGTCGCAAATCGCCAGTGATGTGAACCATGCATGCTGTTTACAGAAGTGGTGTTGCAACCAAGTCTTTTCGTTATTTCCCATTGTTTGTGATGATTAGTGATGATTAGAATAAGGGCATTGCGTGGTCGCTATGAACATTGGTGAAATCATGCTTGAGTGTTTTGTGCAGGCATGAATGAAGGTGCTCCGTGAGCTGGACGTTGTGTAGTTGCTATGAAAACCTTTTCGTTCCGTTATTGTTGGCGAACTGAAATCTCTACCCATTTAAAAGTCATCAAATTTTCGTTTCAAATAATGGATAACGGGAGTGATAGCTATTTACGCAGCAAGTTCAAAGTTAATTTGTTAACACACGCCCGGGTGGCCGGTTGGATACCCTTCGTTCGGTTGGGAATCAATGCCCCCCCCCCCCCCCTGAGATCTCAGGGACCAGGGAAACTAGAGAACCAAATTTGCAAGGTGTGTTGGCCTGTGAATCAACTCATTTAGGCGAAGGTTTGAGGACCCTGGGTCATGACCTTCGGGTCTAGTAAGGTCAAACACGGTCAATGCCAGTCCGGTCTCCAAACTACACCCCAGAACCTAGATACTTGCTCTAAGCAAAAGGTCACATGATTATTTAAGGTCAGGAGCCTTGTTTGACCTTTCAAAGGTCGTGCTGACCAAAATCATACAAGACTGCCTTAAGCTTTTGTTTAAATAAGCGCAAAGATTGCGCCAGAAGGTATGCTCCTAAAAACAAATTGTTGACGTGGGTCATTTAGGGTTACAGACCTATTCTGAATTTTGAGACGGGTATGGAAGGTGTCTAATGTGGTACCTGTCATCAATAAATTCGAGATGGGCACCAGAAACTACCCTTTACAGCCCGTCCTAAAGTAATAAAACAGATTGACTTTGACCTTGACCTGACCTTCAAAGCTGCGCTTAGGTTAATGGAATGTGTTCATTTAATTGTTGCGTTTCCTGAGAAAGTATTTCAGAGATGTATGGTCCAGTCTAACACTCCGGTTTGTATCAGACTGAAAGATTCCCTAGAAACTGACTTCGCAGAGTCCATAGCCTGACTTTGACCTGCCGTAGGTCAATATCCTTACAAGGTTTATCTAAATTTTTACACCAAAGATCCGCTATTAAATTGTAGACAGCTATGCATAATTTGGCGTGGCTGCCCCGCGCCGTTCGGAAACCATTCTGGAAAAATCTTCGGGGGTCAATTTGACTCACACCC